CTTCCTCTCCAAAACCCGCGCCTGCCACGAAATCAACATTTTAGTGTGAACTCCCTGCCGCAAAAAAAAACCTGCTAACCAACCAACCAACAGCCACCTGCCAGCGGCGCCAGCAGCAACCAACCATCTGACCACAACGTAGCATGCCTTTTGTGGGCCACAAATACAGTTTAGAGTAGGAAAAAGCCATTGCAACGTAGCATTCCTTTTGTGGGTAAAATTTAGAAAAGGAAGAAGCCATTGCAACGTAGCGTGCCTTTTGTGGGCCACCCGAGGGTAAAATTTAGAGCAGGAAGGAGCCATTACAACGAAGCATTTCTTTTTGTGAGCCACCCGATGGTAAATTTTAGAGTAGGAAGGAGCCATTACAACGATTTACAACGTAGCATTCCTTTGATGGGCCATTCGAAAGTAAAATTTAGAAAAGGAAGAAGCCATTGCAACGTAGCATGCCTTTTGTGGGCCACCCGAGGGTAAAATTTACAGCCGGAAGGAGCCATTATATTACACTGTAGCATTCCTGTTATGGTTATGATGTACGCTAAAGCTAGTTCTGATGACACAGCAAAACATAAAAAAGGCATAAACAACGCAAAAATAATGCAAAACCAATCCCGAAAAAAATGCACAGAAAACGCAAAAACAAGTCACCAAAGGATGCCTTGGAATGCAAAAAAAACACAAAAAATGAAAAAAACGCATTTGTCCACTAAACCAATGCAAAAAACGCACAAAAAATGCAAAAACAATACACAAAAAAGGCACAAAAAACAAAAAAAATGCACAAAAAATGCAATCAAAAAGCAAAACGAATACGATCAAAAACGTTCTGGTCTTTGCCTTTGCATTTTTTTTCCTTTGTATTTGGGTTTTTTTTGCGATTTTTTTTTGCATTTTTTGTGCGTTTCCTTGAGAAAACGCAAAAAAAACGCAAAAAAAACGCACAAAAACGGCAAAAGAATTGCAAAAAAAATGCAAAAAATCGCACAAAAAATGCAAAAAAACGCACAAAAAAGGTGGTGTGTGAAATTTGGTTGTGCATGTGCATTTTTTTTGCTTTTTTGAACTGCTGTTCTGCTTTTTTTTTTGGCTTTTTTTCTGGCTTCTTTTTGCGTTTTTTTGCTTTTTGATATGCACTCTTTTTGACCAGCTGCCTTTTTTTTGCTTTTTTTATGCATTTCTTTTGCATTTCCTGGTCATCCTTTGTGAGTGTGGTTTTGCCTTTTTGTTGCTTTTTTATGAATCCTTGAGATTTCAGAGTTAGGCTGTAAGGTACATCATAATGTTATGGGCCATTTGAAGGTGAAATTTAGAATAGGAAGGAGCCATTACAACGCAGCATTAGTTCGAATTCGACTTCGAATCGACGATAATTTTTTCACTCCCGGGGGGGAACTAGTTCGAGTTTGAGTTCGAATTCCAATCGACGACAATTTTGACGCCCGGAGGGGGGGAAACGCAGTTCGAGTTCGAGTTCGAATTCGAACCGACGACAGCGATTTTGGAGTTCGACTCTTTCTATTCGTCCACTGGGTTGACTTCTAACAGTCCCAGTTCGAGTTCGAGATCGAGTTCGAGATCGAGTTCGAGTTCGGTTCCTTCCATATATATCCTTTCAAGGTTAAGTTCATCAATACTGTATAACTGTTTCAGTTCGAGTTCGAGTTCGAGTTCGAGCGGGGCACACTATGATATTCGACAAAAGCCGCAGGCGATGATGAACAAGCCAGGGGTCGTTGTATTGAGCCAAGCCATAGGCAAGGCACGCAATGCCCGTCACAAAGAGTTTGGCACCCTCTTCTGTCTTGCCAGGGTAAAAAAAGTTCAATCCAGTATCGGTGCCTGCGTTCGCAATTGAACTGTTTGTCGTTTCAGGGACCAATGACATTTATTCCTGCCAGCGTTGAATTGCAAATTATCAAACTGCATGGACTAGAAGCGAATCAGCATAACATCGCTGTTCTTCATTACAATCAGACTGATCCAATGTCTTGTGTGCCTACGGACCAGTTGGCATGCTTGCCACTGCCGTTGATGCCGGCAAAGGGCTTCTCGTGGAACAACACCTGCAAGCCTAGCTTGGCTGCTTCCCGATTCATGGTTTCCATGAAAAGGACATTGCTGTCGCAGGAGACGTTGGCAGTGCGAAAGACTGGAGACATCTCATGCTGCCCTGGAGCAACTTCGTTGTGCTTGACTGCCATAGGGCAACCAACCTCTAACATCAGCGCTTGGACACGGTCCAAGAGCAGTGCCACACTGGTTGGAATCGGTTGAAAATAGTTCAAATCACCTTGTTGATGTCTCGTTGGGAGCTTGCCGAAAAGGGTGCGACCTGTGTTCACCAGGTCTGGTCTGGCTTTGTAGTGTGCAGCGTCGATCACAAAAAACTCTTGTTCCCAGCCCAAGTAGCTGTGCATGGTCTTGGCATCTTTGCCCAGGCCGACGGCCTTCAAGAGACGAAGGCCCTGCTCTTTCACAGCGTCCATGGACCGCAACAACGGTGTCTTCTCATCAATGCACTTTCCGAAATGTGTAATAAATGCACAGGGAATGTAAAGCGTCTTGTTCAGCACAAATGGTGGTGAGGTTCTGTCCCAAGTCGTGAAAGCTGCTGCGGAATGCGTCACTCGCAAGCCACCATTTGGGAAGGAGGATCCATCAGTTTCTCCCTGGAAAAGACGTTCCGAAGGCAAGCACGCCTGGGGTTGATATCAACCAAGCTGCTCAAGGGCAACTTGCACAACAGAGCTGCTTCGCAACCACTTATATTTGTGATACATATATATATATAAAGCCAATGCAACAAAATTAAGGTTCTGCACTACAATTGCAAACACTCAACACTCCAAAGACTTTGTCAGCCTGGCCTTCATTGGCTTCGTGACATACTTCGAGGCAAAATCCAAATCAAGGAGTGTGTCCTGAGCAAACAAAAGGATACTGTATATACTATCAAGGAAAAAACACATTTTTATCTCTTGCCCCCCTCCTTGAGTCCAACCTTCAAGAAAAAATTCACAACATGGAATACCAGCCTGCTTGTACGCTCCCAACATGCCACCCACTGCTCCACCACCGCCTCTGAGGGGAAAGAACCAGTGGGCAAAGTCAATAGCGCCTCGTTCTCGAGCCTCGGCAAAAGTCGAATACTAGTTTGATTTGATCGGTACATTGAATCAGTACAATCACTTAATGTTGACCCATGTTCAATGCACAGCACCGAAAGCACGCTAACTGTTTTGCCACAAACCGCTTTTGCACTGATTAGTAACTACCATGAATTGAACCGTCATTTCCCTTCCACCAACTCCCAACTCTTGATGGTGATTTGGGATGCGCATTTCATGGGGTGGGCGTTATTGAATCATGGGTTGACATTATAGCTTTATTTGACTCCATTTTCCTTCAAACCTGAGGAGCCAACCCATTCATAAATTGTGTCTGCAATGACTTTCTGATCTTCCTCTGTAGTTGGGGCACCGGTGATCACACACTCCTGAAATCGCTTCAAAACTGCCGCAGGCAGCTTCTCTGCCATTACCTGCAAAATGACAGGTGCATAGCTCCAAAACACATGATGAACATGCAAAAACAACGTGCCAGGACCACAATTGAACCAACAATATGAATCAATATGATATAACTGATAGAACTATATATGACACATTTCAATTTTGCCATCTACATATTTAGACCGGGGATTCGACGTCCGCTTTCGCCGCCTTGCCTTGTCATCAAATATGCAACTTCCTGCAGCGTCCAGTGGGTCTTTCGTTGGAAAGACTCCACCTGTCATCGTGTTCACAGCCTCCAACACGGCCGTTGAAGTATTTTGCCCCATTGCCCTGACAGGGTTCAACCAGGGTTCCGGTTTAGGCATTTTGATATCAAACGCCCGAACGCCAACAAACATCACGTGCACGTTCGTTGCTTGATGCACTTGATTCCGTGTTGCGGTGATATTGCGCCTTGGAACTATGGAAGACTCAGCAGGAGGAAAACTACGTGATCAGCTGAGCCAAACAAACGAACTTCGACAAAGGCTATGGGTGTGAATTAAAATATTAAGTTGTTCTTATTCTTAAGAACGTGTGTATGTGCTGCTGCACAGTTTAACGCACTGCCCTGCCCCCCCCGTTCTGCCATGCAATGACCTCAAACAAGTATCAAAGTGATTGATTAACACTTGCCTCTCTGAACCAAAAAACAAAAGACAAACAAACACACTCTCACAAAGGTGTTGCAGCAAAAACGGTGCTCAAAATTGCAAAACGTGTGCGAATTGCATCGAAGTGCGGCTTTTGGCGACCTCTCGGCTCTGAGTCAATGCTGCATGGGCCACTCTCGCCTGAATCGAACAAACAAAATGTGGGCGTCCAAATGCGCTCAACTGATGCCGAAAACCACACATCCCTTTAATCGATCACTGAGAAAAACAACACAAAAGCCTCGCTATACATGATCGGTTCAATCACTTTGATTGTTCTCTCAGAATCTTTCACATTCTTTCACATCATCTTCCAATCCTTTCGCTCCATGCCTTTTCCGAGCTGAGGCGAGTCCACTTGGAACTTCACTGCTTTACTGCTTCCCTTCTTGACTCCGGACTTTGGCTTCTTTGGCTTCGGCTTTGTGCGCCGCCTTGCTCCCCTTGGCTTGTTGTACCCATGGGGAGAAAGCCTTTGGAAAAAGGCCTCCCAAAAACTGTCGTCATAGGGCATCTGTAGCGTTGAGTGAGGAGAGCCAGAAGGTGCCATCCACAAGTTCAAGGCAAGGTGCCCCCCTACGTCGCCACCATATGAGATCACTTCATGAAACCAACTTGCCGGCAAAAACAGGAGATCGCCAGGACTGAGTGCGGCAGTGATATACCGACCTTTGAGAAGACTTGGGATGGAAAGCTCACCATTCGAGGTTGTTGTCGCTCGACAAAAGCTATCAGGCAATTCTGCATTTGTGCAGTTTCTCTCCTTTCCAGTTTCAGGGGCATCCTCTGACCACTCATCGGGGGCGCGTCCTCGCAATGCCTCGTTGAGCATATGCTCAAGCTCTTCCTCGTCACTCTGGCCACTGTCGCTGGGGTCGTGCTGACCACACTTAGAGCCTTGTCTTTTCTGCCACTCGCGCACAGCAACTGCTGGAGCACCGTCACTCCGCAGGCCTGGCACGTAGGAAATCAAGCCATTGGAGTGCAGCTTGGCTGTCTTGTTCTCCACCCCAACCGGCGCAAGGATATCTAAGCAACGAGGACTGAACAACCGAAACTCCTTGCGCCCACGGAGTAACACATAAATGTTGTCGTGAAAATCATGATGCAAGCCTGAAGATGATCCAGCCGAAGATCTACCAAACCACAAATTGTACTGCACCGGGATCAAGTTCCCTATTAGCTTTGGCCGGAGGGTCTCACATCCACGCATTAATTGCAGGACATGCTCCGCTGCAAGAGATTGAGGGCAGCCATTGCCGTCCTCCAGCGCCTGGGTAGTCAAGTAGCTGAGTTCATTTCCCATCTCCAGCTCTGAACAGAACTGCCCAAAGGTCGTCTTCTCCCTTGCCGTATCATCACTTTGCCCAAAAAAGCTTGACTTTGCATGCTTGCGTTCTACGAGAACCTCGCAACTGGCAGCTGTGCTCTGTTGCATGGCCTTCATACCTTGCTCTCCTGGCAATGCCCATCTTGCATGTTCACCCTTCAAGCCAAAGAGCACTCCCAAAGCTCCATTCAAAACACCATCTGTGTTGATCACCAAAGGCTTTCGAGCCTTTACATACTCAAAAAAGCTTTCTGGATCCAAGTCTCTCCAGTGCTTCGTTTCCACACATCCACCTCCTCCTGAAATGGCACCCTGCTGAGTTCTCAAAGGACAAAATCCCTTATAACCCCGGCGCAAAGCCTTGCCAGCTTTTGGCTTGCTTGCCTTCACTGCACGTTTCCGCGCCGCTCTAGCGCCACTTCTCCGAGAAGTTTTGGCCATGGCGTTTTTCTTACCAATACTGTCTGAAACTGACTCAGTGACGCATACAAACAGCCTCTGAACATAAGTCTTGAAAAGTCTTGACATCATTTCTCAAAAGCTGACTGCATGAATAATGAACCCGCTATTCAATTCCGCTGTCCAGTGCAAAGCAGAAGTGTGGCTGAGGAGTCTATGGCATATGTCATATGTCCATGTTGGTGATGTTAGCTAGTATCTCATCCGCTGCATTGCCTTATATAAGATGGCGTCGGATGTTCTTCGAGAAGAATACGAGTACAATATGCATAGTCATTCTGTTTAGCAATGGGCTTCACAAGGCTGACAAAGTGGGCACTTTTCACTGCTGGCCAGGATGAGTGCAGTGAATTCCAGCTGCTGGCTATAAGCACCAGCACCCCCAATGCTACATCTGCTCCAAACATTGTGGCGAAGTGGCGCCAGTGAATGAGCAGCAAGCCAAGCTTGGAAATCGACTCAGCGACGCCAGACTCAAATACAAATCTGTTGTGCAATCACAGGAATACACGTGAATACAGAACGCAAATATGAACTTTTGGCAAAGCGCATCCGTGAACAGGAGCGAAGGGGGCATGTAACGTATCTTAATTGAACTCAGCCTAAGCCTATTTCACTTTCGATCCGATGGAACTGACTTGGTATACAAAACTGAATTTATATAAGTGTTGTATCTGGGGCTGTAGTAAACGCAGTCCCTAAAACGCATGTTTATGTTGCAAAGTGAGAAGCAAAACAGCAAGTTCAAGACACTTCGCCGTTGTCATTTTCATTCATTTTCCAGTAGTATTGTGTAGAAGGTACATATGCATTGAGTCTATCCTACTAGCAGCAACAGTGGATAGTAGAGGCCTTGTTCAAACATATTTATAGTGAGGCAATGGGACAAACCCCGGATTTATGCACGATTTGACAACTCAGCCACCAAAAGCTATGATAAAGGCTGTAGTCTGGAGTGATGTTCAAAACATGGCCATGGACCAGCCACGGCCCTGGACCCACGCCAGGTCCTTCCAGTAGAAAGTGCATGAACATTCAGCTCCATTGATCTTTCCTACTTCTTTATTGAGCCATTGGGCAAGTTGTATCTGTATCTTGCTTGGTTGTATGACTGGTCTCATGGTGTGCAAACATGTTGAACAAATTGAGGCCCAGCATTGCAACGAATGTTCATCGTGTAAGACAAAAACAACACATAGCCGCATCCCGACTGTATACTTTGGAGCCTTGAGGCACTTGATGGAAGGCAGGGTGCTGGGAGTTGATTTTTGGTCTCGTCAACAGTGCTGGAAAGACCGCCGCTTTAAGCTGCACGCTCTGCCAAGCTGCCCTTTCTCACCGAATTCCTTCCTCTGCTGCCACTGTGCATCATCCCAACTTCCTTGCTAAAAGGGCAATGAATCATCCACAACACGGCTTTGAGATGGATATGTGCAGCCTTCAATACAGCACATACATCGCGAAAAACTATTAGTGAAAGTGGAACTTGCAAGGAGGGCAACATAGTGCAACCGCAATAATCGAAATATCCAGGTACACCAAGAATGCAAACAAGCCGCGAGTCCAGAAAGTCGATGCAAACATCTCTCACCTTATTAAAATGAATGCAAGCAGTCTTTCGAATCAGATCTATGATCTATATGATTGTGTAAATACAAGCGTGTGCCATATATTGCTATATATTATATCATAGACTCATAGATGCTTATTCAACGTACACATATCATGCTATATTTGTGTATGTATTGTCGCCGCAAGCAAGGAGCATCCCATCGATATTGAGGAAGAACAGCCTGCGGTTGGAATCGCTTGGACTGCCCACTGCCAACTCTGCACTGCAAGTTAAATTCAATATATTTCAATCATGCATCTTGAGTCTATCTTGATTCTTTAGATGCCCTGTAAAGGGATGTGGAGACAGCCAACACTCGATTTGGAAGCCAATTTGCTTTCTGCAATTTTGAAAGTTCCTCACCTGCAGCAAGTACATGTAAAGCAAAACCCAAACCATGGATGCAATGCCCCAGGAGAAAGCAGCAAGCACAGTGCTCGCTTTCGGCTGAACTTCCTGCATCAGTTTGACATGACTGATGCCAGGCTGAAACGACTCTGCATATACAAACGAATGCATCGCTTCACAATTTTTTTGGGCAAATGCCGCTTTTGGTTTTGGGCTTTTCTGGTCCAAAATGGTCAGGGCATGGGGGGGAGGCCCCCATGAAGCATCTAAGATCTGGCCACGACCCTGGCTTTGGTGGGGCTGAATCGGTGCCGCTTTGGGCGGTGGTTTCGGCGATTCCCGCTCATCCGGCATGAAGCTCAAGTCATTGCGGAAGAAATCTGTCTGAGCCGGTGTGGATTTCGAGGACTCCGTCTGAGGTGACATACCACTCTTCGCCTCTTCATCTCCAACCGCTGTGGGTGCGACTGTTGGTGCAGGTGGAGTAGGCGGAGCAGGTGGGATGGCTTTCACCGGTGGATTTGAAGGGGGAACTACTACTGTCACTTGCCGGTCAAGGATATGGGACAAGCGCCATATCTCCTGCCTGAGCTTTGGGTTGTCACCCTGCAAGTACTTCTTTGCTGTCTCAAAGTTCCTTTCCCTTGCAGCAAGCTCCTCTTGAGCTCTAGCAAACTTTTTCTGCTCTTTATACAAGCTCTCCTGCTTTGCCTGGCAATCTTGCTCCCTGCGTTGGTGTTGCTGGTTCCTTTCCCGCAGCTCTGTTTTCTCTTCGTTCAACTTTTGGCAGCTCAGTTCAAAGTCATCTCTAGCATCCTGTATCTTCGCTGCCTTCTCTCTTATGACTTGCTCTTTGTGTGCAAATTCAAGCTGCTTGTAATTTAAAGATGCTTGCTTGAGCTCAAGTTCTTCCCGATGTTGACCAAGTTGTTTCCAGAGCTCCTGCAAAGTTCGCAGATTGTGGTCGGCAAACTGCTTCTCTCTGGACACCTTCAACTCCTCTTGTCTCATTTTGCGCTCCCAATCAATCAGCTCCGCTTCTTTTGCAGCATTTTGAGACATCCTGGCTTCCAACTGTTGCCAAGAATCTTCCCCATGTGAAGCAGCACCGGTAGTGCTTATGACTCCTTCCCATGCTCTTTCGACTCCTTCAACTTGCTTCCTTTCAAGTTGAGAGGGCAAACCTGCCGCTGCCTCAACGTTGGGTGTGCTGCTAGTGAGTGTCCCATTCCGCTCGTTCCCGGTTGCAAGCTTCCGGAAGCCGTCTGCGGAGTTCACTTGATCCTCAGAAAGAATCTCGCATCTATGACCATTCCCCTCCATCTCATCTTCTCGTACTGCAGGAACCAATGGCGACAGGCCTCTTTCGCAACTCTCACCATGTCCATTCACAGCTTTTGAAAATGCGGCTCTTTCAGGGCCCATGGCGGCCATGGCAGCTGGCCGGTTTGGACTAGGAATTGCGGTTATAGGCAATTTGCGAGGATTTGATTCCACTCTTTCGGAATCAGTTGGCTCTTTGGCCAGGTCTGTGGCACTTACATTGGCCATGTGTGGAGGTGTTTTTCTATGCTTGAGCCAGTCAGCCATGCAAAGATTACACGCTCTTGCGGAAAGATCAATGCTGCTAGCTGCTAGCTACTCACGTGAAAAATTACATGCCCTGCTTGCGGGTCAGTCCATGTCAGTCCTTCGAATGTGGCAGAATTTGAGTATTGCGGGTGTCGATCACACTCTGCAAGGGCACAACGGTGCTGAATATAACATTATTGAGCACCAATATGAACCTCAGGCAAGAGATTTCAGAAGTTGGCCAACAATTCCAGTTGCCGCCGGTTGGACAATGGCGAGTTGCGCTTGCCACAACTTGCGGCAACTGCAAGGCTCGTCGTGCAGGATACGACAGCTGTTTAAAAGAAAAAACATCCAGGCAGCTCCTCACAACTAGTCACAAGGTCTTGAGTTACTCGTGCCTTGCCGAAGGGCTCCAAGGCTACAGCATTGAGGATGACATCTTCGAAGCTTGGAGTTGCGCAAAGCCAACGGCAGCCAAGCCTCATTCCAGCTCGATGTGGCTCATGACAAAAACTAAAGAGCTCTAGGCTCTAAGGGCGAAACTCAGAATAACACATTGTTTTGGTGACTAGGAGCTCGAGCCACTTAATGAGCACGCAAATCATTCGGATTGAGGGTCTTGCTCATGCCTTTTAAATGTGGTTGGGCATTGGTGTGCTTTGGGGTAGAGCCCTTGCACGAGGCTTTTTAGCTTGCTACCGTGTTGTGAGCTTTGAACGGCCGCCCACGCAACCTACCCAAAGCAGCAAAATATATCCAAACAACAAAACAACATTGTAGAGCAAACCACCCTCTCTAACTGAATCAACTGAAGGACAACATTTTCTCATGTCTTCACAGTTTGCGCAAGAATCCAGCTAGTTTACAAGGTTGTTGTAGGAATTTAACGGTATGCTCGCCAGAAAGGCACAAATCAACATGCTGGTAGGAGTGCGAGCAGGCTAGTTTACTTATGCTTGTTGGCTCGTTCCTACTTTTTCGTGCCAGACCAACTTGAGTGGAGCCTTCACGCACAGTAAATCAGTAAACTGTCGAAAGCTTTAAGAGTGTGAGCCTGAGCGGGTGATAGGCGAATCGTCCACAAGCCAGAAAGAAGGTCCTCATCAAATTCATCCACATTCTAAAGGTAGTCTTGAGGGAAACATATTATTGTGATGATTTATATAATGTAGACCCAATAACCTTTAGCAGTTTAAATTTGAGCATGTCTACACACATCTTGCCAAATAGTAGTAACTTAATAAACCTTTCCTAGCATCATTCATATAAAATGTATCATAGGAAAAAATAACATTATATGAATTATATGATAATGATTTCATGTGATGTGGACCTTCGGAAAGACCCTATAAAACGACTATATAAAACATCTAAAACACACAATAATGGATCTGTGCCATATTTTGTCCAACATATTTTACTAAATTATTGTGCCATGGATTACAAAATGAACCCTCATAAATGTAAATACTGTTACTTTTAGTTGC